GGCTGCAAACACAGACATACAACCCTAAAGATTCTAATTTCCCTTGAGAAATTTCCAAAATAATTTAGGGGATGTTGAAAAGTCAGAAAACTGCTCTGAGTGTGATGTCATAGTGGCACAATGACATCATACTATTACAGGACAGAGGCGGAGGGGGCGGAGTGGCAGGTTTGAGCCAGAAGTTCTTCATATTAGCGTGGATGGATCTAAAAACATAATGCCTTGACATGTTTTTACTCTCACTCATGCTCATTGTTAGAGAAAAAGTTGATTTTGAGTGTATGTTTCATCCCTGGTTTAGTCAATCAATCAATCAACATTTATTTGTAGAGCAGGTTTCCCACAAAGTTCCAGCCCAAACAAAAAACATATAAAAACATATAAGTCTGTTCTGTTGACTCGTGTGAATGGGTGAATACAGCTTTATCCCAGTCTGCCTCATGTTACGGCTCTAAACTCGTGTAGATTCTCCTCTTTCCTCCGTCTCCGTCTGTCGCTGTAATCTCACATAAACAAAAGTGTCTTTAAAAAACTGAAACTTGAACTGGCTTTGATTACGTGTGCGCCTCGCTGAGCAGGTGGCATCTGTTTGTGCATCACAGAAACTCAAAACTGAACAGAGAGAAAGAGTGTCCCAGAGAGGGCAAAAAGTCACCTCACACTGAGACACTCTCAGTGTGAAGGAGCGCTACCGCAGGGCCTTTATCCCCACCGCTGTCAGACTGTACAATAAGTCACTTTAAGTCACTGACTGAAAAACCTGCACTACTATTGCCACTGTTTCTGATTGCCTCTTTTTAAATTGACACTTTTACAGTGCCTTGCGAAAGTATTCGGCCCCCTTGAACCTTTCAACATTTCGCCACATTTCAGGCTTCAAACATAAAGATATACAAATTTATTTTTTTGTCAAGAATCAAGAACAAGTGGGACACAATCGTGAAGTGGAACAAAATTGATTGTATAATTTAAACTTTTTTAACAAATAAAAAACTGAAAAGTGGGGCGTGCAATATTATTCGGCCCCCTTGCGCTAATACTTTGTAGCGCCACCTTTTGCTGCAATTACAGCTGCAAGTCGCTTGGGGTATGTCTATCAGTTTTGCACATCGAGAGACTGGAATTCTTGCCCATTCTTCCTTGCAAAACAGTTCGAGCTCAGTGAGGTTGGATGGAGAGCGTTTATGAACAGCAGTCTTCAGCTCTTTCCACAGATTCTCGATTGGATTCAGGTCTGGACTTTGACTTGGCCATTCTAACACCTGGATACGTCTATTTGTGAACCATTCCATTGTAGATTTGGCTTTATGTTTTGGATCATTGTCCTGTTGGAAGATAAATCTCCGTCCCAGTCTCAGGTCTTTTGCAGACTCCAACAGGTTTTCTTCCAGAATGGTCCTGTATTTGGCTCCATCCCTCTTCCCATCAATTTTAGCCATCTTCCCTGTCCCTGTTGAAGAAAAGCAGGCCCAAACCATGATGCTGCCACCACCATGTTTGACAGTGGGGATGGTGTGTTCAGGGTGATGAGCTGTGTTGCTTTTACGCCAAACATATCGTTTTGCATTGTAGGCCAAAAAGTTCAATTTTGGTTTCATCTGACCAGAGCACCTTCTTCCACATGTTTGGTGTGTCTCCCAGGTGGCTTGTGGCAAACTTTAAATGAGACTTTTTATGGATATCTTTGAGAAATGGCTTTCTTCTTGCCACTCTTCCATAAAGGCCAGATTTGTGCAGTGCACGACTGATTGTTGTCCTATGGACAGACTCTCCCACCTCAGCTGTAGTTATCTGCAGTTCATCCAGAGTGATCATGGGCCTCTTGGCTGCATCTCTGATCAGTCTTCTCCTTGTTTGAGATGAAAGTTTGGAGGGACGGCCGGGTCTTGGTAGATTTGCAGTGGTCTGATACTCCTTCCATTTCAATATAATTGGGCCTCATTCACGAATAACTTCGTAAGAAACTACTCAACTTTCTTCTCAAGTTGTCCTTAAGTAGATTTCTAAGAAGTCCCCACGTGGGATTCATCAACGCACTCGTAAGCCGCTGAATTGTTCGCAGCTGTTCTCTCAGATTGATGAATCCCATTTCCTCGTAAATACAGCGCGCGTGCCAGGTGCTTCATTAGCATAGGTACTTAGCATAAGTAACCGCCCATTAATGCCCATATAAGGGACTGCAGGGCCGTGTGCAGACGGCTGAGGAAACAGCAACAGGCCTAAAGCAGAGTTACACGGAGCAAAATAGTCACCCTTTTTTCTTCCTTTACCAGACTGAGAATAAAGTTATAAAATGTTGACTTAAAAGGCGAAATATTATGATAATAAAGTCGAACTAGCAAAATTATGAGATTAATCTAAGAATATGATGAGATTAATCTCAAAATGTTATGAGCTTAATTTAAAAATATATTATGTATTATTTTAAAGATGAATCTCAAAATGTTTTGAGATTAATCTCAAAATATTTTGGACCCTGGGAGGAGATCCAGCGCGGACCAGCGCTGATACCAATGCAGACCCGAGGAGAGACTGGAGTGACCAGCACACAGAAACCAGCGCGGACCTATAGGAGAGACCGCATAGACTGGAGTGACCTGACTGGAGAGACCGGTGCGCAGAGACCAGCGCGGACCCGTATGGATCCAGGAGCATGCAGCACGGACCCGTATGGAGAGAGACCAGTGCAGACCCGTATATGGGAGAGACCAGTGCAGACCCGTATATGGGAGAGACCAGTGCAGACCCGGCTAGATCCATGGGAGAGACCAGCGCAGAGACTCAGCGCGGACCCAGTAACCTCCTGCAGCAGCAGTATATATGCCGTTGTTCTGTGGCCCGTGGATAAAGAAATGCCCCCTATAAATAGGAAGGGGTCACTAATACACGGCAAGATTTCCAATGTATTTGATAAAGCGTTGGCACATTTCATTTCAAAATGAATTAAAAAGTAGGCCAGATCTGCAGTGAAAAAGGCGGTATATAAATAAAGATTACTAATAAAGATTACTACAAATAAATAAATACATACATCATTATGACGGACATATCACTGGAATGTTGTATTTTTATTCAACTTCACCAAAGAGGACAACCCCGGCTGTGAACATGTTGGCACTGAATGCGTACGAGTGCTCCTGAGGACTCGTAGGATTTGTACTTGCCCAAGAGAAATTCTGGTTACGAGAAATATTCGTGAATGCCACTTTCTTCGTAAAAACCGCGTAAGTAGGATTTACGTACAAATCTGTTCCTAAGAACCGTTCGTGAATGAGGCCCATTGCTTGCACAGTGCTCCTTGAGATATTTAAAGCTTGGGAAATCTTTTTGTATCCAAATCCGGCTTTAAACTTCTCCACAACAGTATCTCGGACCTGCCTGGTGTGTTCCTTTGTCTTCATGGTTCTCTCTGCGCTTTAAACAGAACCCTGAGACTATCAAAGAGCAGGTGCATTTATACGGAGACTTGATTACACACAGGTGCATTCTATTTATCATCATCAGTCATTTAGGACAACATTGGATCATTCAAAGATCCTCACTGAACTTCTGGAGTGAGTTTGCTGCACTGAAAGTAAAGGGGCCGAATAATATTGCATGCCCCACTTTTCAGTTTATTTGTTAAAAAAGTTTAAAGTATCCAATAAATTTAGTTCCACTTCACGATTGTGTCCCACTTGTTGATTCATGACAAAAAATTTAAATGTTATATCTTTATGTTTGAAGCCTGAAATGTGGCGAAATGTTGAAAGGTTCAAGGGGGCGAATACTTATATTATGTATACTGTACATAATATATCCTGCATTTAACATGTTTGCGCATTTCCTTTCTTTTTGCTCAATCTTGAGTGTTTTTATCCGTGCCAATGTGACATGTAAATTTCTCCTTTGTGAGATTAATAAAGCATATCTTATCATATCTTATTTTAAAAACAAGGCTTTTGACCATTTTTCTCATGTATATAATGTGTTTTAAGTATATTACTGTGAGTGGAAATCTGTATGTATTTCATAAACAGTGGCTCCAAGTACTCAATGTTTTTATTCAGTCACACAGTTTATAGTTTACATCACCGCTCAGACAAAGACAAAAACGCTAAATGTAAACTCCCAGAGAAAACAAAAGTTGGCCCATCTTTTTTATCTTTAACTTTGTCCAGGAACTTTGCAACTTTTTATGTGAAAAAAGTATTTATATATTTTTGCATATTTAACCCAGTAGCTATAAGAGCAGTCAACATGATTTTAATTTCCATCCTACAAAACAATTGATCCTAAATCACTAAAGACGCAAACGTGATCAAAAGTAAAGGTGCCGCTGGGTCACTACAAGGTAAAATGTGCAAAAATATCTACTTTTTTCACATAAAAAAGTGAAAACATAAGTGCGTATGTGAGTGTGTTTGTGATCGAATTGTGTGAGCGAGAGCCTTTTCAAACTGTACTTTTCAAATTGAACTTCTGTATCTTGTTTGTTCCATGTTATACTGTCTGAAAAATATAAGTTTGGATAAAATATTTACTGAATGACTTACTTACACACACCACTGCACTTTGATACACAGACACACACACCCACATCCTCAATGTTGTCTGTTAAATAATAAAATAAAAACATCAAGGGGTGCGCTCAAAGACAAACTGCGGTGGTTCAGGACGGTTCAAACGAGGTCATCGCTGATCTCACCAAACCAAGCTCCGAGCCACGCTTTGCTTTGAAACTGCACTGAACTCGACCCACGCTTCAAAGTCTCGCTTCATTTTGCCCATCCCTAAATGTTAGTCGCAGTGGTTCTTCTGGCACCCCCTTTTCTGTACCATAAACAACTGACATGACCTGGCCTTATGGTATAGTGGATCATTACCCGGATCAAATGCTTTTTTTAAATATTATGCAGAGCCCTGGTTCCTTTGAAAGCACAAAGAAAAGCCCTGTACAAATCTTCTACACGTTCAATCGCAGCTGTAGTTGTGTCTATAACATATCTCTGCGTCTCCAGGATTTCTCGTACGACGATCCAAAGCTGGAGTTCAACGTCGACGCTCCCAATGGAGTCGTGATGGAGGGATATCTGTTCAAACGAGCCAGCAACGCATTCAAGACGTGGAACAGGTCCGTACTCTCTGAAACGCCCATCTAATGTTTTCATATATACATATACTGTACACTGCAAAAAGTGATACAAAATAAGTCAAACATTGATCAAATTTGGCAAAATGCATCTTGAATTGACCACATTTTGACTGCCTTAATATAATATCTGCCAATGAGAGAAGCAAAATTATCTTGTTTTTAAAATGAGGTCTCCCTTGGAATGAGAAAATCAACCAACAGTTCTTGAAATTACAGTAAATGGCTTTGTCCCATCGGCAAATCTGGTTGTAAGACAATCAGAATGTACTAAGATTAAGATAAAACCACTTGATTCAAGCCTCATATTCTTGCAGTATATACCAAATATCACTTCTTATACCCCCGCCGCCTTTAGATGAGACACAAGCTCATTACAGTAAAACATTTGTACGTTTTTAAGAACACATTGATACAACATTGTTCCCTCATCAAAAGCAGACCTGAAGTTTGGGTCCGAACAAACAGAAGATACACAAACATGTCCTTCCGCTTCTGTGACCAAATGCTCTGATCTAAAACCACACTATGATTCATTCTCACAGTTTTCAGATATTTAAAACAAAAGCATTGCCTATTTGTTTGTGCATTTTCTACAGTGTATTTTCTCACTTCTACCTCTAGAGGGTGCAGTGTCGTCATCTCTATTTTGTTGGTCATTTTTATCCATGAGTTTTGGACTTGAAAGGATTAAACATTGTAAAATATGAAATGCCAACGTGAATATTCTTAAGAGACATGTACATTAAGTATGATGTAGTTCTTTAAAGCTAGGGTACAAAAGTTCCCACTAGTTTTCATGCATTTTTAGTCTCTGTCACATCTTTAGACCAGCTTTTTCAGATAGAAAAGTAAACGAGAGAGGACAAACATGAAATTATAAACAATAAGCAGACAGTTTGTTGTGGTCGGATTTACCTTTTACAAAAAACTTTCTGTTTGGACAAAAAACATGCAATATTTATGGACAAGAAAATTAGGTGCACAGTGGTCAATGGTTAGACGACTTAGACGAACCAGGAAGTACGATCACATTAGTCCAGTCCTCAGGTCTCTGCACTGGCTTCCTGTGGCTCAGAGAATAGACTTTAAAACAGCTCTGCTTGTTACAAGTCTCTCCATGGCCTCGCACCAAAATATATTAGTGACATGTCTTAATATGAAACAACTCAGATTCTTAAAAAAAAAATACTTTATTGTGTCATCTTTATTAGTTCACACTTTTTTCTTAATACATACAGCTTGACAAGACACATTTCAATTTCTTTTTTTCCTTTTTTTCCCCCCACAAAGCCCCCCTTGTGTCAAGAGAAGGGTAAAACAAAACAAAGCAAAACAAATACATAGATTATAAATAATAATAAAAAATAAATTAATAATAATAATAATAAATAAATAAATAAATATAAATAAATAAATTAAATTAATAAAACAATATGAAAGTAAATATATAAAATACTATAAACAATAGATGATTATTCCTATGGCTATATGTTGAACAGTTTTGATATCATACTGACAAATAGACAGAATGTGATGTTGGTTTAGTCAGTCGTCCTCTACTCCACCAGCCCGGACTCTGAGGAGCACAGGGACTGGACTCCTGTTAGTGCCCAGAGTCAGAACTAAACATGGGGAGGCTGCTTTTCAGATTCATGCTGCTAAAATCTTGAACAGTCGTCATGAAAACGTGTGACAGGCTTCTTCCCTTCTCTATGTGCAGACAACTGAGGGATTTTATCTTCTCTCTTTTTGATGTACTGCGATTATTTATGATTTTAATGCCTTGTATTGCTTCTATCTTGTTTTGTTCAGCACTTTGATTTCCCTTGTGTATGAATGAACTGTGCTACACAAATAAACTTGCCTTGCCTTTTCTAACGGCTCCGCTCTTGTGCAGGCGCTGGTTCTCCATACAGAACAGTCAGTTGGTTTATCAGAAGAAACTAAAGGTGAGGAGCAAATCTACCCAATAACTATGAGCGTTCACTGTTTATTGTATGATTATTTGATACTATTTCTCATTCCCCTGTGCGTGTATAGGACTCTTTGACAGTGGTGGTGGAGGACCTGAGGCTCTGCTCCGTCAAACCCTCCGAGGACAACGAGCGGAGGTTCTGCTTCGAAGTCGTTTCTCCAACAAAGTGAGCCCCTGGTTTATTGTACTACTTTTCAAAAAGAGTTGAAAAAAGACATGCCATGCTTCTGTCTGCTAGTGATAAAACAACCCATACATTTCTTGACTTACAGACAAGCTAATATTCCATTCAATGTATTTTTGTACAGCTCAAATTCAGAACAATAGTTATCTCTGAGGACTTTACAAAACCGTCAAATTCGCCAACACCGATCACAGAATCAAACCGTTCATAACCTGAGCTGGAGCAAAACTAGTTCAGTTGCTGTATGTTTGGACTGAACCAAAACTGGGTCAAAGTGAAAGAATTGCCCAATGATTTATATTTCTAAATTTAGTCGGGTTAAAATTTTAGAAAGCAAATACTTCTATGGTAAGGCAAGGCATTGTGGTCTGGTTGTTTTATTGAGAAAATTATCTCTAAAATGAGGGACAACACGCCATGGCAGCTCATACTAACCTTACCATCATCGCTGCAAGTTCATAGTCATAATTGTAAACCTTATGGATGTTTTATAACACTTTTTAAGCAACTGTGGTTAAAGCTGAAGGGATTTTCCACTTCATGTTTTGATTATCTGAAGGCCGAAGCTACTGGCACAGTGGCTTTTGATTCGTCCGTCGTTTAAAATAAAATGTTTACTGTAAAATCCTTGTTTGTGTCTCGTCTTTACCTGACAGCATTAGTGGAGAATACGGGCAACGTCTGAAGAACTAACACCCATAACAGCTCTAACCGTTTGTTTGATGTTGCCCACTGCAGGAGCTGTATGCTGCAGGCTGAGTCTGAGAAGCTGCGTCAGGCCTGGATCCAAGCGGTCCAGGCCTCCATCGCCTCTGCTTACAAAGACATTGGGGACAACTACTACGTGGAGGTGAGAACTCTGCAGACGATCGGCATCAGTCCGGGTTTGAATGGGTAAAGGCAAATAGAATTGCAACTTTAGAGACAGAATACCAAAACTGTATTGATAATCATGAACACACTGATTGGACTTGAAACCCTGGACTTCCCGCTCTGGACCTGGACTAGTCCTCATTCTGCAGTCGGGCAGTCAGCTGTTGTATGAGCCGTTTGTGTTTAAAGGGGATGTCCGCAATGTCAACTGCATTACATTTTTTAAATTATGTATATTTGTAAGCATAGGCGTATGACCCTGTAGTGTCCAGAATAATTTGCTGGAAGAGAATAGTTTGACCAATGACGATGATTTGAATGTATTTTGTCATATCAGGAAGCTGTGAGTCTTACTGGTTCTTGCTTTGGAAAATGTTCTCTTCCTCTCAATTCACTTGAGATACTTTTGACAATGTATCTGAATTGTATACTACATTAGTATGCAACTTTTTATGTAAAACAAAGTTTACATTTTTGACTGGGATCATCATTGATAGTGATCATCATGGTGCCTTAACTTTTGCTCTTGGTTGTGTCTAGAAAGCATGACACCACAGAGTGGCTAAAAATATGCATAATTTAGAAAAATAATTTCAGTTGACATCACCTTTAAAGCGGGGGTATTTATAAACCACCTTCACTGTTATAATGCAAAAGATTCACTCTCGGTCCTTGTTTGCCCTCAGCGCCTGGACCGCACGGCCTCGCCATCCACCAGCTCCATCGACTCGGCCTCAGACGCTCGCGGCGAGCGCTTCATGGAGCGCGCTCAGTCAAGAGGAGCGGAGGGGCTGCTGCAGAGGGTTCAGACTCTGCCCGGCAACGAGGTCTGCTGTGACTGCGGCCAGAGCGCCCCCTCCTGGGCCTCCATCAACCTGGGGGTCCTGCTGTGCATCGAGTGCTCCGGCATACACAGGTACGACTGCATATACACAGGTACAACTGTGCATATACACAGGTACAACTGTGCATATACACAGGTACAACTGTGCATATACACAGGTACAACTGTGCATATACACAGGTACGACTGCATATACACAGGTACGACTGCATATACACAGGTATGACTGCATATACACAGGTACGACTGCATATACACAGGTATGACTGCATATACACAGGTATGACTGCATATACACAGGTATGACTGCATATACACAGGTATGACCGCATATACACAGGTATGACTGCATATACACAGGTATGACTGCATATACACAGGTACGACTGCATATACACAGGTATGACTGCATATACACAGGTATGTAATAAAACAAAAGAACAAAATTATTGTAAAAGTAAAGTCAGACCACAACATGTTGTCTTCATCTTGACAAACAAACAATAACAAACATATTATCTGTTGTTTAAAAGACCCCTGTGAGTCATTATTCAACGCTTTGGGGTGAGGGCGGTCTTCTCTTTTTCACTCTTCTGTTTGCATCTCATTGGTCAATCCTTCTACAGCTCAGATCTGGATTTCCAAAAACAATATCACATTATAAACACCAGGTTCATGGAGAACGCAAAACCACAGATTTGTCAGCCCAAATGTTTAGCGTGACACAAACAGTTACTGAGATGTAAGTCGATAAGAGTCAGAGCGAGTTGGAGCCAAACTTTGTCCATGAGCGCTTCCCTATTGGGCTTCATTGAGCTAGGGATTCAGCAATATCCATCTAGATACAATCCATCTGTTGAAAGTTACATATCCCGGCTTTAAGTGCGACCTGCTGTTCAGTGTTTGCCATGATGCATCCTGACTGTGTCTTTGTAGATTAGTGTTTGATTTCAGTGAACTTTGAAACATACACAATGTTCAAATAACTGCACGTCGCTTATGAGTTTCCTCTTTTATACATAATTTCCCCGGACTCAGATGTTTAGACACGAAAAGTTGGCAGAAATCCATCTTGTGATTTTTCAGACGTATAAATCTGTCAAAACTGCATGAAATATCTGACAGTTGACTTTGATGAACAACTGAGTCTAATTTGTAATTATTTTACAACCATAGAACAAATGTTGGACAAAAATTGGAGGTTTGACTTTCCAGGTAAATGCAAATCATAAAGACAACTGTTGACACAAATAGTTTTAAACACGTTACAATCATGTTCTATTTTTAGATCAAACACCTTCTCTCTGCTCTGTGTTCAAACTTGTTACACTGTAAGTAAGTCATCTTTATTTATATAGCGCCTTCGACAGATCAGAGTCACAAAGCGCTTTTCCTCTCACTGGATTATTGTACATATTTTTAGAGGTAAGGGAATCCGGAGCACCCCCAGGAAACCTACAAAAACACAAATCTTCAGATCAAGTGGTTAAATTCAGACTTGATTTGAAATCCGATTTTTTTATAATAAACACACACAGGACAATAATGATTAAATATGAGGTAAAAATTGCTTGAATGGAGTGTTTTTTTATCTTAATTTGGGTACATTCTGTCTTAAAACAAGATTCACCGACAAAGACAAAGCCATTTAGTCTTATTTCAAGAACTGTTATTCTCTCATTTCAAGGAAGATGTTTCTTCTATTATTATTTTTTTTTTAAATAAGCAAAACCTTATTTTACCGTCCCATTAGCAGATCTTGTTTTAAGGAAATCAGAATGTGCTCAAATAAAATAAATCTTCCCAAATTTGAGAAAGTTATGATTTATTTTTCATCAGTTTTTCATGTATAAAATATTCCCACAATAAGTCATGTTGACATGAAACAAATATAGTCAATAAATCATCTTTAGATCATCTTTTTCAGCCTAAAAGGTCAAGTATTGACTCACAGAGGTCTTTCTCCGATGAAGACAGCACACTGTGGTCTTTTGGACAAACAACATGTATTATTATAATCTTTAGTAGTTTTAAATAATAAATGATACATTATTTTTGGCTAATGAAAAACATAAGACCTTTTACTTAATCTGGTTGAAATATAATATGATATAACTATTACCTTAAATAGAAAATATATGGTAATAACTGCTTTCCGCCGGTAACTCCCGATGCTAGATTGATACATCTAAATTAAAATAAAAAAAGTCCAGGTCTGTGACTGATGAGGGACAATGTTGTAACATAGGTAGGTCACCTTTAAGATGAAGAAACAATGTTGTAACCAGCTCAAAAATGTTGTGTTTCTTGTGTTTTGTTGTGCAGGAGTTTGGGTGTGCACTGCTCGAAGGTTCGCTCTCTCACTCTGGACTCGTGGGAACCAGAGCTTCTTAAAGTGCGTGTTCTTTTCATGTTTGGCACTTTTGACAGTATAATAGTGGCAGAAGTAATCCCCCTCCTCTCTTTATCTCTGTTTTCTGCAGTTGATGTGTGAGCTGGGGAACTCTGTGATAAACCAGATCTACGAGGCCACGTGTGACGAGGCTGGAGCCAGGAAGCCGGGTCCTGCCTCCTCCAGGTACTAATATTTACACTCTATGGGTACAACAGCTGTGTTTATGTCCTGAGCAAGAGGACGTGAACACGAGTGATGAGTCAGTGATGACTAAACCTGTCACAATAATCCTTTGGGCGCCAGAAAAGGTACAAAAGGTGGTGCCTTGAAATTATATTTTTTTAAACCTTTCCTTTTATTTAATTTGACATGTATCATGTACCATATCCGTCCTTGATAAAGTCTATCTTGATAATTATAATAATACTAAAATCAATAACATAAATGTATACAAGAAAAATGGAAAATATCTCTATTTGCGGCTAATATTCAACTCTGCGATTAAAACTGAAGCTTGGCTAATGCCACAGTCCAGTTCAGCCATGAGTTTAGTCCACTGAGATGCAGCGAAATAGCTAATACTACTACTAAAAGTACAGCTTATGCCACAGCTAACAATACAATGCTATGGCTACACTAACCTCACCAGAGTTTACACACAGAAGACGACAAAAGGGATTAATGCATAATTAAAGACATATGGCATTAGTTTTCTCTCTGTGAGGTCTTAAATGAGATTTAAAGAGTGGAATAACAAAATAAAAAAATATCGGATAAGGAGATAAAAACAAAATCGGGACATCCCTGAAACAAAAAATGAAGAAAAAGGCAGAGAAAACCGCAATAAAAGTTAGCAGATGAACACATATAATTTAGTTCAGTCTATTCCAGCTGTTTTTTAACCTTCAAATCCACTCTCAGACAGGAGAAGGAGGCGTGGATCAAGCACAAGTATGTGGAGAAGCGCTTCCTGAAGAAGCTAGGGGGCGCTGTGCTGGTGGAGGCTGAGCGTAAGCACCGGCCGTGGACTGTGAAGAAGTGTCAGCGGAGCAGCGGCTCTATGCGGCGCCTCAAAACACGCAGGAAAAACAAACGCTACGACCCGGGCAGCGCATCGCCCGCCAACCTGTCTGCAGGTAAGAAGAGACGTCAACACAACGCCAACGTGTGGACATGATGACCACGTGTGTTTTAGATGAGATGAGCTAAAGCAGGGGTGTCAAACTAATTTTGGTCCAGGGGCCAAATACAACCTAATTGGATCTCAACTGGGCCGGACCAGAAGATACTCTACAAAAATACCCAAAAACGGTACAAAGTCCAACTTTCTGTGCACATAAACACATTTATTTAAAACTTCCTTTAAAACACTGTCCTTTAATACTCACCCAGTAACTGTAAATCTGTTACAAACTTAACGGTGAGTTTTTTAAACTGCAAATAATGTACTATATTTACAATATTACATTGTAAATGGCATTTCACAATATTTATATTAATATTTGTATGTTAGCTCTGTTTTAAGGCTCATACAGAGAAAACTTGCTCACAATGGTAAAGTAGGTAAAGCACTTTAACACTGCACCTCACCTATGGGTGACAGTGGCTCAGTTGGTAGTGCATTGGCTTTTGGGCCAGAAGGTTGTGAGTTCGAGCCCACCACGGAACCTTCTCCACCGACTTCCACTGATGTCTGCTGTCGTTGTGTCCTTGGGCAAGACACTTAACCCGACACTTAACCCGACATTGCCTGAAGCTCCAGCTGAAAAGTCAAGGCTGTATAGTCACTGACAGAGCAGCCATCCTCCTGTGGACTCATCACCTGCAGGAGGATCAGTGAGGGGCTGGTGGTCAGTGAATTGGGTGCAGGTCTGACTGCCGCCCCCCTGACCCAGAAATGGATTAAGGGGAAGAAGATGGATGGATTATGATTATTATCATTTTACATAAATGAGCCGCGGGCCGTGTCAAATCTCTTGGCGGGCCGGATCCGGCCCACGGGCCGCATGAATGACACCCCTGAGCTAAAGGGATAAGGACTTACAAGACCTTTGAAAGACCTTTGAAAGACCAGAGGGATCAGACCAGTTTGGGGGCAATATAGAATAGTCTTTAACTTACTCTGTATTCTTATACTTTGTAAACCTCACTGTTGTTGGAGGTACTTTGTTCAGAACTACCTCCTCCGACTCCGGGGAGCACAGGGACTGGCCTCCAGGACTAAACATGGATAGGCAGCATTTCAGATTTATGCAGCTAAAATATGGAACAGTCTCAATTAAAATGTGAGACAGGGTTCTACTCTGAAAATCCAGGTTAAAACTTTTCTGTTTAGCTGCAACAACTGAAGGATTGCATCTCGACTCATTATAATCTACTGTGTTCATTTATTTATTGATTTTAATGTTTCTTGTCTTGTTTTGTTAAGCGCTTGCGTTGCCTTGTGTAGGAACTGTGCTGTGCACCCCCTGCTTGCACACAAATCCTGATCAGACTCTTCATCTCTTTCAGCCGCTGCAGCAAAGTTCCGTCGGGATTCCTTGTTCTGTCCGGACGAGCTGGACTCACTCTTCTCATATTTCGACACCGGCTCCGGACCTCGCAGTGAGTCTTTCAGCTGTGGTGTTTCTTCAGAATGCAGAGTTGAATGTGTGACGGGTCTTTGGCTCTGGCAGGTCCGGCTGGTCTGAGCAGCGACTCTGGACTCGGGGGAAGCACTGACGGCAGCACGGATGTCTTAGCGCTGGGCTCAGTGGTGGACAGCGTCACAGAAGAAGGTTTCAATTCTAATCAAATTATTAAGCAGGGTTTCATTGGCTTTTTTTTTCACTGTTTACACTGTTTATTCATCTAAAGAGGGTCACTGTTAGTGCTGTGGTAATTTGTTCCCAGAAGTTTAATAGGGCCTTTATATGAAGGTAGCCGCTCTTACAAAGTGCGCCATTGTGGTACTACAACTTCATATTTCACTTCTCCCTTTGTCTTCAGAGGAGGAGTCGGAGGAGTCTTCCAGTGGGGAGGTGGAGATTGAGCAGGAGCCCTCAGACTCGGAGGACCCACGGGAGCTTCACCCCGGAGCCCTGGTCCACCCTGTGGCCCTCCTGCTGCGCGCGGCCCGGCTCCACAACCTACCGCTGATGGCCGAGTCGTTAGCCCACGGAGCCGACGTCCACGCAGCCCCAGAGGAGGAGGAGGGCCGGACCGCACTCATACAAGCTGTGATCGGGGTGAGAACACTTTCTACCACGAACAAAAGCCCCGTTTCCACCAGCCCGACTCTACTCGGCTCTACTGGTTGTGTTTCCATTACACTTTAGCATCGGATACTGTATCATAGCCACCTACACACAAAAAAAGTATTCATGGAAATTCCTTGGTAACCATGGCTTCCAGCAGCTCTCTGGCCATTATCTGTCAGTTAGACGACTGTCGTACCAGCTCGGCCTGGATAGATCTGAAGTAGGTGGCTATGATACAGTATCCGATGCTAAATGCAGGTACTAAAAAGTACCTGATACTGGTTAAGCAGGAACGGTGGAAACGCTCCTAATCAGGGTAGAGTAGAGTAGAGCAGAGTAGGGCTGGTGGAAACGGGGCTAATGTAACATACTGTAAGTACACTCATACAGTGTGATTGGAGTGACAACTCTTTCCACCAGTAACAATCTATATTGTACTGTGTTATTTATGGAAACAAAGTTAGGATTGGGCACTTACCTTTTTTTCTATACATAATACAGTTTAAACCGTAGCGCTGCAATGTCCTGATCTTGTCCTTGTCTCTAGGGCTCTCTGATCGCCTGTGAGTTCCTGCTCCAAAACGGCGCCGATGTGAATCAGAGAGACATGAGGGGGAGGGGCCCGCTGCACCACGCCACCGGCCTGGGGCACACTGGGTAAGTACTTTATCCAACTCACATCCAGCTGGAAATACTCATTGGAAGAATTATAATTATTTTGTCTCCTGGCTGATTTCAATGATGTGCATGATAGAACACTTATTTGTATTATACTGTATATAATAATAAATACATCTATAGCCTCAAACCCATTGTGTGCCGGAAACCCCCCCCTGCAAATAACCCGCCTTACGATCTAGTCTTTGTTCCGAGGCGTGAACACTACAACCAAATATAGTGGCAATTTAGTCAGCTATAAAACCAAACTGTTTTCTCGCTCGATGGTTACATGGGGTTCAGCTGAAGGAGGTTATAAAACTACACACAAGTCACACGAGGGACAAGACTTTGCATGATGACAGCAAAACGAGCCGTGGAGCCGTGTTTGGGTGAGTGAAGCTCTTTACGTCAGAGTTTGGGCTTTGACACGCGCTGCTCTTTCCTTCATGAGGTTGTCCTTGTTAAAAATATGAAAATGGTATGTGGATGATTAACCTCCATTATAATGTGGTTTCCTCTGGTCCTGGGTGCACTGTGACCTATTTTAAAAGTTTGTATTCTCCCTTATATTTTATGTTTGGTGAAAAGCCGACACAGGTTCTTAGCAAAGCGCCAATGAACTTGAACTTTTCAATGTTCCGGAGTCGGGTAAAGAATGTACAGAATCATAAGTGTTTGGCTTCATCCCTGGGGCCAAAGCTGTAATTGAAAAAATGACTCTGCACAGCTAAGAGCTAAGATATTAATTGTAGACTTTCATTCAGACAATAGAAAACAACACTTTATACCACTAATACAAGCATAGCAAATGTTGCACTAGCCTCTACAGTGCTTGAAGACAATAAAAAAGCACACAACAATGAAAACAAAGTTCATATGGAAAATGAAAAAATGTTGTTAGATTTAGATATTCCTCGGGGAAGCAATGTTAATGTTCACACCATTTGAAAGGTGAAAGAATAAATGGAACTATTCCGCTGCACTTCCCTGGCTCAACTCGACTCTACTCTGTGGACATCTCCCCCACTCAGCCCTGCTTCCATTTACATTGCAAAGAGTCCAAGATAAGAATAATAATGATCCATTTTGTTTGTTTGTTAACTTACATTTCAGGGAAGCCTCAATGTTCTACAGGTTTAAAAATAGCTCGATTGCATAAAACTACCAGTTATAGAACATCAAAACACACCCATCTCTGCTGCTCGTCTCCAGCGTCGCAGTCTTGTGTTGTAATCCTGCTGCTTCCTCGTGTCTGCAGTCAGGTGTGCCTGTTCCTGAAACGAGGAGCGTCTCAAACTGAGGTGGACGAACAGGGACACGACCCTCTGAGCATCGCAGTGCAGACCGCCAACGCCGACATCGTCACGCTGTAAGGAACTTCTAATACTGACTGAGACATTTGGTTCCCTATGTGTGTGTCTGTTTTGTCGTTGTCTGTTATCTGTATCTTCACACTGGGTCTTTTTGCACAAATAGTCCAATGCAGGGTTTTTTTTACTGTTTTTTTTTACAGGGAAAGATCTTAATCTGGATCTGAGACATGAAGGAAATCCTGTCATTTCTTTCTTATCCGTAGTTGGATTTATGACCAGTGTGTTTAAAGTAGCAATATGTGAGATTTTCATGTCAAGTCATCATTAAACGGCCCTAATCTGTCAAACGAACCATGCTCTTTACGAATACTTCTTTAACTGATAATAGTAGTTCAACCGATATATTCATATTTCAAAATTAGTTTTACAGCCCCTAAATCTTGTAATTGTTCTCATTTCGATGTCCCGCCCTCCACCATTTTAACAATCATAAAGTCGGTGACCCAGGTTGCCAGAACTAACAGTGTTGAGCTAATCTCACTGGTAAAGTAACATGTGGCCGCAGATATAATTAAGGTCTCATTATGATTCTCAAATCAGTAATGACAAGGAATAAAACCAGGGTTTCTATCGGGGATGGCTTTGTGAAAAAGGTGTTGGTCTTAGATTTATTGTTGGCAAAACTCTTGTATATATTCAGTTATCATAATCCCAGCTGGATTCGTCTGCATACTTGGCAACCTGAGTCAGGGAGAGTGGGAGAGGTTGCAGTACCACTTTTGGCCAGATTTTTACATACCGCTCCTTTAAATGATGATTGTGTTTGAATTGTGCATAACTTTGCGCAGCATGTTGCCAGTGTTCTTCGTCAAAGCTTTAGAGCAGACCAGTGCAAAGCAAGAAAGAAGAAATATTGGACAAAAGCATTTCAGTCATACCTCACAAAAATATTAGCAAGCGCACTAAGTACACATTAAAATTACTACTATATGTACTCAAATCCACTAACATTAGCCGACTTTACCTTCCCTGTTTGTTCCCAGGCTCCGTTTGGCGCGGATGAACGAGGAGATGCGAGAAGCCGACGTCCCGTTGGGGCAGCCAGGTCAATACCCGAGCAGCAGCCCCACAGAGCAGCAGTACAAGAAGTGTATACAGGAGTTCATCTGCCTCACCATAGACGAGAGCTAGTACTCACACTGCTGCTGCAAATACTACTACTACTGCCTGCTCTTTACTGCCCCTGCTGGACACTCTCACAATTACACTGATTGGACTTTTTCTCCTCCAGCAAGGCGACAGTAAACAACAGCAGTGTTCATTTGTGCGTCACTGTGCTGAAACCCGACACCGTTTGTTTGTTTGGAGCCGTAGGAGCCGCTGTCGCCTGCTTTCCTCTGTTTTCTATCAGGGTTTATCCTTTGTGCTAATGCGCTAACACTCATACCTCTGGAGAAGCTGCACTAAGACGTTTTTTTACTCCCTTTGAGGCCAGATCTACCAAGTTTTTGCAACTCATGAACGAAATAACTAATTGTCACTTTGGATTGGCTCTGTAAATGTTCAATTTCACAACACTGGCTTGAATGGAGGCAAAATTAAATTGACTATGGAAGGATTTGACAAATTCTCCAAAATCACATATAATTAATAGATATTTTATGTCTTTCTAATGATTTACACAAACTTAGTGAACTTTTTAGAACTTTTGTTGCTTCTTTTCTAAAATGTTTGATCCATAGTTTATCCATGGCTTATTGTTTCATATAGTCTGGTCCAATCAAATAGTTTTTGTTTTTTGCCGTAGCATTTATGTCTAGAGGAGAACTTTAAATCGAATGTAAAACTTCACATGATTCCATTGAAGCCATTTCAGCACAGGGGTGATGTGCTCTCTTTCAGTTCCCGTTTATGCTAATTTGTCACCTATTTTAATCCAATTTAAAACTGTTTCTGATCAACAGTTCAAGCATAGTATTGTGTCAGGGACTGGCTAGGGTACTGGTAGTTTTTCCGTTTATTTTTTGTCTGTTTTACTTTATCTGTAGGTCTCTTTTTAACTACTTCTTGAAAACAAACCGATAAGCAACATTTTTGAACGGTCATCAAAATCAGATTTGCGCTGTTACTCCCATCCGATTGGAGTCTGACGATTTTAATGCCCCATTTCTGGTCATAATCACCATTAAAACTACCTTATATTATACATTTGAATAGTTAAATGTTGTGCTGACTTTGTGGATCTGGCTCCTTGTCAACTCATCTCAAGCCGACTGTACATAGCATTCTCAAGGGTAAACTTTGAATTATTCCCGTGGCATGAGATGTCCGAGTTTTTGTAATATTTCAAAGTAGCAGAAAAGCAAGAAAAGTAGTAGTTTTCAGAGGAATTGGAGAATTGAGTTTGAAACTGTGATCAAACGGCCGGCTGCCGTCTGTAAAAAAAAAAAAAAAAAATAGAAAAAGAAAGAAAAACTTGAAAGCGGAGAAGAGGTTGTGCATGTACAGAATATATTATTAATGTAAAGAAAAGATGAAACAATGCACTTTCCCGATTACAGTATTATTTTTGTCATATTTTTTATATTTTTTATCAATTGAACTATCTTTTTTTTAATGTTAACACCCAAATGGACACGGACAGTCCGAGGGAAACTGATTGTGAAAGGAAAGATGCAGTTTTTAAAGTTGTGTTGAAGATGCTTTCCCATATGGCCTTAACGAGAATATGCTTATTTATTATATTATTTATTGGTTTGAGGTTTGTCTCTTTAGACTTTATAACAGCCCAAACTTTATATCATTTTTCAGTTTTATATAAATCAGCACAAATATTATGACCACCAGCGGTTGGGGTTGTTCGGTCGCATCTACCATAATCTGTTCTAGTTTGTTCCATATCGGACAGATTTAAAACGATCTGCCAGGATTAAAACCACGACTAAACGTATACTTTACTCTATCTTACAAATCAACTCTGATAAAATAGATAAGAGAGACTTTCTTGATCTCACAATGGAGAAATTTACAAACGAGAAAGTATTGAATTCATTCCCCTACTCAAGTAAAAGTATAGCATTCTCTACCGTCTTTTGGAAAAGGATTTTAGATGCACGGCCGCTGTGGATGCCTGAACTATGCGGCTGCGGTGAATCAGTAAAAGAAATGAAATGAAATACTAATAATAAATGTGTTTGAGGTATTGTAAGAATTGCCTTTAAACAACTGAATGAGATTATAGGGTTAGGGTTCAGTCTTGCATCACAAGTTACAGAATAGTAGGAATGACGAGCACACAGCACGAGATAAATAAATACTAAATATACCAGAATAAAATCTCTAACTCTAGCATGAAAACAAGATGTATAAAATCTCCAATATTCTAGTGCAAGTAATTTATAGTTGTATGTAAACATCTATATGTGTTTATGTGCATCATGAGGGTGCTAACACGCATAAGGAAAAGAATACCACAAAAACAAACCGTTAAAACATTAATCAACATGATATTTTTCCAATGTCGTCCCATTTTTTGTTGTGTTCATCAAATTTAAAAAAAAATAAAAAATAGATGATTGTCTAACCATGGTGAAATATAATTCGAAAATATAAAATCTCAAATCCAGATCCATTCTCTGCTTTGTGGTCGTAATGTTGTGGCTGATGGAACACCGCTCCACTCTTTGTAATACTCATAATAACAATAATATCAACATTCCCAAAACAACAGCTCAGCAACAACTTAGCGTGTAATTTATTCCAGAATTATTATTTTGTTGTAAATAATCCAATGTGCAGTACGAGTCCGAGCACTTTTGATTTTTATTATTTGAGGGTGAATTACAAAATATACGTGACGTTTTTTGCGCATGCTTTTCCGGGATCCTTTTGAGAAACATCGAAAGCTTCACAGTTTTACCAGCATGCTACAATACAATTCATTTTGTGCAGTTAAGTCCTGTGAAAAAGCATGTTCCGCCCAGAATAATGCGTCTTATTCAAAGACAATGTTGGGAATGTTGGATTAAACTACCACAGTGGCTTTGGGGAATAGAATAGGCAACATTAACAGTCTAATATAAGATTGATTCATAATTTATATATATACAGTATATAATCCCAAATTTCAACCTTATTGCCCTTTTCTCGCACATGTATTGAATGAGGAATTTTATCTAGATTTTAATCAAGGGATATTGCCGCTTATAAAACTCCCAAAGCCTTCTCTCAGTAATATTGAATTGATATGAATTTTAAATCTTTTTTATTCTTGGGGTAAAAATCAATCTGTCGTTACGCACGTAGTTCACTCCCCACTCTCTTCTTCTCATGCTTTCGTTATGTTTTTTGCCAAAGACTTTTTTCACGGGGAAGTGTCTAAAAATGTAAAGTAGCTGTTGAGATTATTGTTTCTTCCTGTGTAGAAAAAAGTCGATGTTCGTTATGCACATGTTAAAATATAGAGCGTAGGAGGAGGACGTAGAGGGAGAGGAGTAAATAATACATGTTCTGTCTAAATGTGTGTGTTTTGAAAGCAGGTCTTTTGTAAATACGAGTCATATCCAAAAACCGCCTGCCTCTTTTCTGTACAATGCAAACTTCTGCTGTGGGAAAGGTTCACTGCGATTTCAATAAAACTGACTGAAATAAAAGCAACAACTCTTGAACTAACTTTGCTTTTGTGGCTTTTTTTCTGGTTCTTTTCTATCAATAATTGGTGCTGTTTGTACACAACTTTTCTCCATGGGGACTTTGTTCAAGCTGGGGAATCTATAGCTTTCAAAAGACGTCAGATGTCATAGAATTTGTAAAGTAAGGTGAGGCAGGGCAGGACGAATTTATTTGTATTGCACAGTTCACACACACAAGGCAACTCAAAGTGGCAAGGCAAGGCAAGTTTATTTGTATAGCACAATTCATACACAAGGCAACTCAAAGTGCTGAACAAGATAGCATTAAAATCATAAATAATCACAGAACATTAAAACGAAAGATAAAAATATAAAATCCCTCAGTTGTATGCACAGCTAAACAGAACTGTTTTTAACCTGGTTTTAAACATTGTCAGAGAGGAGGCCTGTCTCACATCTTCAGGAAGATTGTTCCAGATTTTAGCAGCATGAATCTGAAAAGCAGCCTCCCCATGTTTAGTTCTGACTCTGGGCACTAACAGGAGTCCAGTCCCTGTGCTCCTCAGAGTCCGGGCTAGTCCGGAAAGAAGTTTTTTTGCATCCACTGGTGAAGAAAGCTGAAGTGCTGAAGAAAACAAGATAGAAACGACATAAATAATCACAGTACATTAACTCATTGACTGCCACCCAAAACACATGTCAGATCTAAACAACACAAGAGCTGGACGCACCACAGACTGAGACAAAGTTATCTGGCGGTGAACAGACCGGTCCACACAGAGGCAGAGAGGGATGAGCTGCAGCACAGGGGAAGACTTGAATTTTTACAGCCACATCAAATCAACAACATTAGCAGCATTTTACCATCTGGAAAAAAAATATATAGTGTCTGAAGTGGACTTGAAGATTTTTATCCCGCATTGGTCTCCAGTAGGTTAGACAATTGCAACGCCTGCTCGAGTCCTGACTAGAACCAGGAAGTACGACCACATTAGTCCAGTTCTCAGGTCTCTGCACTGGCTTCCTGTGGCTCAGAGAATAGACTTTAAAACAGCTCTGCTTGTTACGTCTTGTAAGTCTCTCCATGACCTCGCACCAAAGTACATCTGTGACATGTTGGTGCCATATGAACCATCTGAGGAGCACTGGTTTCCTGCTGGTGCCTAGATTCAGGACTAAACATCTGGAGGCAGCATTTCAGATTTATGCAGAAAACATCTGGAACAATCTTCCTGAAAATGTGAGACAGTCTTTTTCTCTGACAATGTTCAAATTCAGGTTAAAACAGTTCCGTTTAGTTGTGTGTTCTTGTGTATGTTATGTTGTCACTTTGAGTTGCCTTGTGTATGAACTGTGCTATACGAATAGACTTGACTTGCCTTTATTTTGATGCACTTGGTCATGTTTACTTGTTTGCTGCTTTCACGTCTCCACAAACAAAGCATTAATATCAAGGCACCAAAACGATTCCCACACAAGTAGGAACGGCAAGTTTATTTGTATTGCACAGTTCAAACACAAGGCACTGTGAACAAAAGAGGTGAGGAAACACTCAAGTAAACACAAGTTCACTCCGACATTTGATTCTCATTTTTGTCATTTTTCTTGTGCCGTCAAGGGAATAAAATGCAGTCATGGAGTGTATTTGTACCTATCATATGCAGCGATAGACACTTCTTTAAACGCAGACTCCATAAACTGTTTTGTAAAAGTGAGATGGAAAGATAAATTATATGGTTCTTTGATTAGGCCGCACACATTACCACAAATTCTTTCTGTGTTTATTCAGCTGTCTGTTATGTTCAAGATTGATTTAGTTAAGTTTCCAATAATGAATGCATAGAATAACAACTGAGGATTTGTTCTTGTTGACTCGCTGTGTGGTATTGTAAGAAAAGATGACTGATGAAGCCAGATTGAGAAGTGGAAAGCCAAAATGATGTAACACGGAGCAGGTTATGATATGTCTTTGTGGCATTGTGTTATGTGTAAACATAATTAATTCATTCCTGGACATAAAAATGATAAAGAGACAAAGTAATTTCATGTTTTAGAATGTGAAATTTTAAAACATGGGGGGGGGTTCAAAAATCGAAGATTACAAGCTGCAAACACAGACATGTGATTTTAAAGTAGAATTACCTGAGAAATTACCAAAACTAATTTATGGGCAATACTTAAGTTTGAAAAGTCCAAAAACTGCTCTGAGAATGATGTCATAGTGGTACAATGACATCATACTGACATCATACTAACAGGACTGAGACAAAAAAAGACAGATGGATTGATCTAAAAACTCCAGGTCTGTTTTTTGAGAAAGGAACAATGCTGAAACATAGTTAAAAGCAGCTGCACTAACTGACTTTATTTTTGTATTCATTATGAAAATGCTATCCATGTCCATGTAGTGCATTGGGATATACGTCCTTTTGAAGAAAAAGTAGCACAGATTTGTGCTGGCGTGACATTATATTTTAGATCGAGTTTTGATGAAACAAGGAAGAGAATGTGTTTCGGGTCGCGGATTGTGACCAGTCACAGCGGACCACTAGCCCCCACTTTCGTGAGAAATCTACAGGTCCGTTAGCATAGACGGCTGAGTTAGCACAACAAGCCGAGGAGCTAACCTGAAACTTCGTGTGTCTTCGTCACCGGGTACTGCTTACACAGCGAGACAGCCATCCAAAAGAAAGTCCTGTTCCTCCGTGCTTCCCGGTTCTATCATTCTATGGTCACGCCATCCACGTGAAAATCCATATGCATGTATTATCCATATTGGGAGAGGCTAGCTCCGTCAACAACAGTAGGTGTGTGTGGGGGGCGATAGCTTCGTGGGTGCACCGCGGTAAAGAGGTCCGGCTTTCCAGAACCAGCGGTAAAGAGGTCCGCACGTAAAATGAGGGGTGTCACATTATGCTGTTACTTACGGTAACACAGGAAAGCGAAGCCGCGGGGATGGGCCGCCACAATGCATTTTTTAACATGATTCTTTTTTTATACATAAAAAACCTTAGAAAAAGCTTTCACTGCACACTTGTTCACTGTGAAGCCCTCTATTATTGTGCAAAGTCACATTCACTTTTACTGTGGAAATTCCAAGAAAATAGGGGTCAAAGTGTGCAAAAATGATCCAAAATGCACTTTTTAACCTGGATTTTAAAAAAAAGTAAAAAACCTTAGAAAAAGCTTTCACTGCACACTTGTTCACTGCGATGCCCTCTACTATTGTGCAAAGTCACATTCACTTTTACTGTGGAAATTCCAAGAAAATAGGGGTCAAAGTGTGCAAAAATGATCCAAAATGCACTTTTTAACCTGGATTTTAAAAAAAACTAAAAAACCTTAGAAAAAGCTTTCACTGCACACTTGTTCACTGTGATGCCCTCTACTATTGTGCAAAGTCACATTCACTTTTACTGTGGAAATTCCAAGAAAATGGGGGTCAAAGTGTGCAAAAATGATCCAAAATGCACTTTTTAACCTGGATTTTAAAAAAAAGTAAAAAACCTTAGAAAAAGCTTTCACTGCACACTTGTTCACTGTGATGCCCTCTACTATTGTGCAAAGTCACATTCACTTTTACTGTGGAAATTCCTAGAAAATAGGGGTCAAAGTGTGCAATAATGATCCAAAATGCACTTTTTAACCTGGATTTAAAAAAAAAGTAAAAAACCTTAGAAAAATCTTTCACTGCACACTTGTTCACTGTGATGCCCTCTTTTAATGTGCAAAGTCACATTCACTTTTACTGTGGAAATTCCAAGAAAATAGGGGTCAAAGTGTGCAAAAATGATCCAAAATGCACTTTTTAACCTGGATTTTAAAAAAAAGTAAAAAACCTTAGAAAAAGCTTTCACTGCACACTTGTTCACTGTGATGCCCTCTACTATTGTGCAAAGTCACATTCACTTTTACTGTGGAAATTCCAAGAAAATAGGGGTCAAAGTGTGCAAAAATGATCCAAAATGCACTTTTTAACCTGGATTTTTAAAAAAAAGTAAAAAACCTTAGAAAAAGCTTTCACTGCACACACTTGTTCACTGTGATGCCCTCTATTATTGTGCAAAGTCACATTCACTTTTACTGTGCAGTGAAAGCTTTTTCTAAGGTTTTTTTTTTTTTAAAAAAAAATCCAGGTTAAAAAATGTCAAAGTGTGCAACTATGATCCCAAATGCAGTTTTTTGGATCATTTTTGCACACATTTTGACCCCTATTTTCTTGGAATTTCCACAGTAAAAGTGAATGTGACTTTGCACAATAATAGAGGGCATCACAGTGAACAAGTGTGCAGTTGAAAGCTTTTTCTAAGGTTTTTTCCTTTTTCAAGAATCCAGGTTAAAAAGTGCATTTTGGATCATTTTTGCACACTTTGACCCCCATTTTCTTGGAATTTCTACAGTAAAAGTGAATGTGACTTTGCACAATAATAGAGGGCATCACAGTGAACAAGTGTGCAGTGAAAGCTTTTTCTAAGGTTTTTTACTTTTTTTAAAAATCCAGGTTAAAAAGTGCATTTTGGATCATTTTTGCACATTTTGACCCCTATTTTCTTGGAATTTCCACAGTAAAAGTGAATGTGACTTTGCACAATAATAGAGGGCATCACAGTGAACAAGTGTGCAGTGAAAGCTTTTTCTAAGGTTTTTTACTTTTTTTTTTTAAATCCAGGTTAAAAAGTGCATTTTGGATCATTATTGCACACTTTGACCCCTATTTTCTTGGAATTTCCACAGTAAAAGTGAATGTGACTTTGCACAATAGTAGAGGGCATCACAGTGAACAAGTGTGCAGTGAAAGCTTTTTCTAAGGTTTTTTACTTTTTTTTTTAAATCCAGGTTAAAAAGTGCATTTTGGATCATTATTGCACACTTTGACCCCTATTTTCTTGGAATTTCTACTGTAAAAGTGAATGTGACTTTGCACAATAGTAGAGGGCATCACAGTGAACAAGTGTGCAGTGAAAGCTTTTTCTAAGGTTTTTTACTTTTTTTAAAAATCCAGGTTAAAAAGTGCATTTTGGATCATTTTTGCACACTTTGACCCCTATTTTCTTGGAATTTCCACAGTAAAAGTGAATGTGACTTTGCACAATAATAGAGGGCATCACAGTGAACAAGTGTGCAGTGAAAGCTTTTTCTAAGGTATTTTACTTTTTTTAAGAATCCAGGTTAAAAAGTGCATTTTGGATCATTTTTGCACACTTTGACCCCCATTTTCTTGGAATTTCTACAGTAAAAGTGAATGTGACTTTGCACAATAATAGAGGGCATCACAGTGAACAAGTGTGCAGTGAAAGCTTTTTCTAAGGTTTTTTATTTAAAAAATATATAAACATGTTAAAAAATGCATTGTGGCGGCTGATCCCCGCGGCTTCTCTTTTCTGTGTTACCGTAAGTAACAGCATAAAGCGGCAACCCGCTAGAAATGTGCGGGCCTCTTTACTGTTGACTCCGAAAAGCCGGACCTCTTTACCGCGGTGTGGGTGCGGGGAGGGGAGCAGAAAGAGCGAGGCCAGCGAGTCCGCGGCTTATAAATCCCAAAGTCAGTTAGTGCAGCTTTAAAAAGTTGATTTTACTTGACATGTGTCATTTAAGTCTTTGTCAAAAAATGGACTGTGTTTCTGTCCCACAGGGCCGGCTTCACCAACCAGCCGAGTCAAAACCAAAGATCGAGTGAGTTTTTGTCCTAATGCTTTCAAATGTTTTCATGGTGTGGGACTTTCTTTTTTATCATGCTCATAAGTGGAATCAGAACCATCGACTGTAAGAAGGAGAGGATAGACTGAGTGCTGACGTCTCTAGTGCTTTCTTTGTTGCCGAAAATGCCGATTAGAACTGAGCTCAAACAGGCTCTTTGGATGGGAATCTGGAGCCAAAATCTCAGATAGCAACTACCCGGCAACCACAGAGAAAATCGGGAGTGAGGCGAATTCAGGGAGAGAAAGAACCTGATTGGTCACTTTTCGTGGGACACAGTCTTTTGTATAGCTCTAAATCACAACTGCGTCTCGGGGGACTTAAATAATTTGTTGATTCACCAACAATAGATCAGAGAATCAAACAGTTCGACACAGGAGATTCAATTATAACAAACACATAGGAACCACTGGTCCATAGGGAGCGGGATGTCCACTGTCTAGACATGTCCTGGATTATCACTGACCCTCCTGCATCGGCAAGAAGCAACTCAAAAACCTTGGGGAGGCCCATAATGAGAGAGGGATCCCTCCCCAGGAACAAACAGGCTCTAGATCCAGGACATATCTGGGTTTACAAAGACATTTTCAAACAATATACATTATCAATGACCCATGGAAGGTGAGTGTGACACAAACGGTTCCAGAGTAAGAAGAGTTTACTTTTCACTGTAGAAGCAAAACTTTGTCCATGAGCACTTTCTAGTACTAAAGCAAAAGCAGTGTCCACTTCTATACGCCATCTGTGTGTTCTGTGGAGAAAATTACTGATATTACTACTGTTTTGATGAAGGAATTTTTTTTTAAGGATTACAACAGAGCAAAACGAACATTCTGTTTATACCATAGACTGTAAATATTAAGTTTATACAGTATTTAGCTCATTTTAAGCCTTCTGTTCTTCTTCTGTTAAAACCATGTTTGTTGCAGACCACATCTCCAGTCCTGATGACTTTCACCAGTTTCCTGTCCAATCGTCTCTACACACCCAAAAACTGACCAGTTCAATTGAAAACAACTATTGTACATGCACTGTATTGAACCTGCAGCACTTTTAAATGAATTAATTTTGTGCCATAGTGTTAAAAAAATGTTAAAGAAGCAGTGATTGCCTAAATATTTTTTTTCCATCAGGGTTTTTTAATTGTGTGTCTAATAAAATGTGATGAATCAAAATCCAACTCATGTGTTGTGTTTTTATAATTTAGGTATTATTGAAATATCTTAATGATATCAAAGGATGTTTATATCCTCATATGTATTTTGTCCACAACCCTCAACTTGTCTGAGAGAAGTGACGACTTCATGACTAGTATTAGTCACTTAACCTACTATTTTTCATTCATTTTCTACCCCTTTATTAGTACATTTCTGGGTTGGGGGTGGGGTGGGGGTGTGACAATGAGAGCTGCCACCCAATGCTCATAGCACCAGTCCCTCTGATTCTCCGGCAGGCGGTGGGTCCACAGGAAGATGGCTGCGGGTGCCTCAGCCTTGATGTTTCAGTGGAGCTTCAGGCCCAAGGACACAACGACAGCAGACATTAGTGGGAGCAGTTGGAGTAGGGTTCAAGCCTTACCTGAGCTACTGTTGGTAGAGCATTGTTATTATTATTACTACATTATTACATAATTAATTCATCTGACAATTCTTTCTGATAATCTCTTTAGTCACTTTTCGTGCTGCTATTATTACTATTGTTTATTCTGATCATATTCTCTGCAGCTAAAGTACAATGTAAACATCTGTAAATACCTCTTGATGCTGCTGACCACAGTGTGTACTCCATCAGTGACTTATCCTTGAACCAAGTGCAATTATAGCTTCAGTTTTATTTTAGACTTTTATTATTTCATAATGACGTTGATATTTCCCCACTGAGGACGGACAAAGATTTATCTTATCTTATCTGACCTTATCTTATGAACCAAGAGACAGCAAAATCAATTGTTACCAAGACCAAAATGAACACACAGATGTACAGGGGAGACAATTTTTTTCTACATTTAACTCATTCATTTTATAATGCTTACAAACTGGAAGTTAAACGTCTGTGTTCAATGCTATGTGTTACTATGGTGACCAGCCTGATTTGGAACCTGTAGTTTAAAGGTCTTTTTAAACAGGTAAAAAGGCTAAACCTTACTTTACACAAAACACAGTCAATCTTACTACATTCAAGGTTTTCAATATATGGTCCCAGTTTCCCCATACTTACATTGTATAACTTCAATGGTGAGATGTTACCTAGCAACCACTTAATAAAATTGGCTCCTCCATTGTTAAATAAATTACAAAAAATACTTTAATGTGTGTCAAGAGTAAAAAACAAGTGTTGTCAAACTTTATTATGAACTGTCACCGAATCCACATTTGTCAACATCACTGTATATTACATCAATCTGTTATCAACGTGTCCTGTGCGTGACCTGCGGTGAACCAGCGATTTTGGTCTTCTATTTAAAAACAAAACAAAAATCTAAATATATACTGCCATGGTCACTGTTATTTTAGTGCACTTAAAGAATCATGTTTGTATTATTATTTACTTTTTTTTTTACTTTGTTTTGCTTCGCTTCCATCAATGACTGTTCGCTTGTTCCTCTCTGTCACTCTGGCAACCCGGAAGAGGTCTCGGGCTTCGTGTTGTTTTCGATCAAGTTTGTGCTTTTAACATCAACAAAATCTGCGCCAGTCCCATCCAAACACGTGTATCCCCCAGCGCGACTCCCACAGAGGTATGTAGACACCTGTGTGTATCTAAATCAGCTTTAATATCCCAATTTAATAGCCAAACATAGCGGTTAGCCGTGGCCTAGGTTAGCATTTAGTGGCTAATGGTTTCATTGAAGCTACTCAAACACACTAACTTTATATAATGCACGTCAACCATATTAACACGACACTGTTGGGGTGTGATATTAACGGTAGTAGGTTGCGTGTCAAGACAGTGATTCAGTTTGTGTTTGAGTTATAAGCAGTGACCGCCCCGAAGCTAGCAAAGATTAGCCGCTAGCTAACTAACGCAGTTTTACAATGTCCCGGATTAGCATCTGTCAAGCTGAGCTGCTGCTGACAAAATCCAATTATACCCATCAGGCCGACACTCCGTCTGTTCTACTTAAAGACTGGAGATATTGGGGTTAATCAGGTGATATGTATTAAAACAGTGGATACTTTCGGAATTGTTATGGTCGTCATTTGGTTTGAGTGATTGGAAAACCCCAGTCACATCCTTCTATGACGTGTTATTACTGTAATAAAATGGGACCGTCTTCTGGAATATCAATTCGACACTTGTTTGATCTGTGTATTGTCTTTACATGTACTGTACTCTCTTCTAATAGACCCGGCGCGTCAGAATTCCTTCATCAATTTCCCACTGAGGGACTAATGAGAGTTGGTCGGAGGGGGCCGATGGCACATACTGATTGCCTCACTTCTGTCGGTGTGCCCCAGGGCAGTTGTGGCTACAGTAGTAGTTTATCACCACTGTGTATGGGAGTGAAAGTGAAACGCATTTGAGTGTCCATAAAAGCACTATATCCATCCATCCATTTCAGGGGGGTGGCAGTCAGAGCTGCACCCAGTACACAGAGCACCTGCCCCTCACTGATCCTCCTGCAGGTGGTGAGTCCACAGGAGCTGAGATCTTTCAGTTGGGGCTTTGGGCAAAGTAGGGCTAAGTGTCTTGCCCAAGGACACAATGACAGCAGTCATCAGTGGGAGTCGTGAAGTAGGTCTTACGGTGGGCTCGAACCCACGACCTGCAGGCCCAAAGGCCAATCAACTGAGCTACTGTCGCCCTAAAAAAAAAGCACTATATGAAACCGATTAATTATTGATATTGTTAGTTTTAGACTATGATAATACACTGCAGCTCAAGTCCTGACTAGAACCAGGAAGTACGATCACATTAGTCGAGTTCTCAAGTCTTGTGCCATATGAACCAACTAAAACTAAAAAATATTAGCTGCAACAGCTGAAGAATTGCATCTTCACTCTTTTTAATGTACTGTGATTATTTATTATTTTTTGAGTTGCCTGTTGTGTATGAAATCGGCTCTACAAGTAAACTTGCCGTACTGTATAATTTTCAACATGTGTTCATTGTAGAACATGCAGTGTTGTGCCAGTTCACAGCTTTTCTGAACTAGTTCAAGTTCAGTTCATACATGCTCAAAGTGAACAGTTCACGTTCAAAGTTCACATTTTTAATTCTGAACTAGTTCAAAGTTCAGTTCATTTTACTTTTTTCGTGAGATACTTAAATACATATTTTTTTCACACTACGAGCTATATGGGCTTGTTCACACTAAAGGGCACAAGTGTGACAAAAGGCCAAAAATTAGATTTTAATAATCAGAAGATATTTTATGTTTTTCATGTTTCCAAGCACCTCCTCTGTCCATTAGAAGTTGCTAGAACATAACTGTTTTATACATTAGACAAGTTTCCTATAGCAGCCCTGTTTATTTTATGTAACGGACGTGATGATTTGACGGAATGAGCTTCGTGGAAGTTTGATAGGTATTTTCAGATGTCCACATTTGATTCAGAGATTCTATTTTTTTACACAAAGTAGATGCAAATTGATACGTTCGTATTGTCAAGCAATTAAATGTGAAAACAGACCAGATTTTTATTTTTCTCAAGTTAAATTTTTAGAGAAAAGAGGACCGTCCTCATCACGTCTGTTACAAATTTTTCAGGGGTAATTTAATTAATTAATTATTTTTTATTTGTTCACGATTCGTTTTTATATCAAGTGATTAACTTCTGTTGTGTCAACCATGTAAATCTTGTGGGATTTCATCTTCTACTTTTTCAGACTGAGGACATTTTATTTTCTATGTAACTGGCGTCACAGTAGAATGGTCAAATAAGAGGCTAATTTGGTCGTTTAAAATGTCGCTACATTTTTTTTTTTGTCAATCTTTATTTTGGATTTTTTCCACACTATCTCTTCAATGTGTTTGTGTTTGAAATCTTTTTTCCAATCTATGAAAGTAATTTTAGTTTTTAAGTTATAACCTTTTAAAGTCCAGATACTTTAATTATCACTTTACTGTGAACACACTCATATATATATTATATATCTCCTGTACACCCACAGGAGGAGAGCCTTTTGACTACAAAACAGACAAGATTTATATGGTTTTCAATGGGAGCCAAACGGAGTTGCTCCATCTCTGCTCATAAACTACAGACAGTAATGCGCTGCAGTGCGTGTGTCTATACTTTATGTCAAATGTAAACGGTGTAAACATTGTCGCTAACTCACCCTGTGTTTTCATCATGACTCTGGCACACGTAAAAAGCACCAGCTCACAGCGCCGCACCGCAACACAGAGTCGGGGTGCGTTCACAGACGGTGGAAACCGTAGGAATGTTTAGATTTCGCCGAAAAAGTGCGAGAATACAGGAGGGAGGAACTTTCTCTCGTTGCGTTTCAAAAGAGAAAACAGATTCCAACGTTCATAGTGATGTCTGCCGTTCATGACACATAAAATGAACTAATTCACGTTCAAGTTATTTTTTAAAAAATGTGCTGCATTCAGTTCAACGTTCACAAAAAAATGAACGCGCTCTTTTGAACTCGTTCACGCACAACATTGAGAGCATGGAACATCAAAGGGCTAAGTAGTAAAAGCTCAATTACCAATTAAGTATTGGAGAGGCGAGATATGAGCTAAAGTCCAGCTCTTTCAGTTTTTATTTTAAATTCTTTGTCACTCATGGAGCTGTTACTGAACGTGTTATTCAAGACATTGGATACTAAGTTCTAGGGCTGTGACAAAAATTGAGAGATCAGAAGATTGCATTCTCAATTTTGGTAGATGTGATTATCAAGACAATCAACAGACACCAATACTGTGGTAATAACAGGAAGGGACTGAGATACGCTTTGTTCTCTACTCATGTGTCCTTCTTCTGTGTAAGTTTGTCAAATTAATTAGAATATATTTTATTTGTCGTACCAGTTCTTTTAATACAATAAAAATAACTCATTAATCAATCAATTAGTTTATTTCAAAACCTGCACAAACATTTTTTACAACGGTTCATCTTGTAAAGCACATGCATGGTTTCACACACTCTCTACAACGCAACCACAATGCAAAAACAAGAAATTACAAAAAACAAAACAAGCAAAACAAAAAACAAATCTATATCCCCTTGGACTACCCCCACCGGTCAGGTAAAGTAGAGCATATACAATACTGTAGCGGGACGGACGGGACGGGACGGGACGTTCTCCGACCACACACCACTCGCTCAATGCTCAGCTACTGCTCAGGGAATCATACTCCCTCTTCTGCGTATTTCTGCAGTAATTCTTTTTTTAAAGTATTTTTTAAACTTGGTCATGTTGGAGCATGATTTTAATGCTTCCGTTAAATCATTCCAGATCTTCACTCCTCTGACTGAGACACACATTGATTTCAATGTTGTTCTCACTTTAGGGACATAAAATTGTTTGTTTCCTCTAAGCCTGTATCTATGATGGGCGTCTCTATCATGAAAAAAGTTTTGTACGTTTGCTGGCAGAGAGCTTTCAGACGCCCTGAACATTATCTGAGCAGTTCTTAGGCTAACCAAGTCATGTAGTTTAAGTTGATTAGTTTTGATGAACAAGGGATTAGAAGGATGTCTGTAGTGAACATAAGACACAATCCTTATGGCCTTTTTTTGTAAAATGAATAAGGGCTGCAAATGAGACTTATAGCAGTTTCCCCACACTTCAACACAATAATTCAGATATGACATTATGAAAGAATGATATAATAACATAAGCGCATTGGTATTAATTAAATGACAGGATCTCTTCTCTTCATCATTCCCACACATTTTGCAACTTTTGTCCGCAGGTAACTTATGTGAGTTTTCCATGTAATTTTGTTGTCTATAATAACTCCCAAAAATACATTTTGTTTGACATTCTCAATAGGTGTATCATCAAGTACTATTCTGACTGGTATTTTACTTTTACGATTACTGAAAAGCATAATTTTAGTCTTTTTTTAAGTTGAGTGACGATTTGTTATTATTAACCACCTCATTAATCTGGTCATCTCCACTGTTACGAGGGACAAGAGTTGCTCCAAGTTATTTCCTGAGCATGTAATTGTGGTGTCATCCGCAAAAAGTATAAATTTCATTAATGTTGATACTTTACATATATCATTGATGTACATGAGAAACAGTGTGGGTCCCAGAGTTGACCCTTGGGGAACACCACAGGTGATGTCTCTGAAACCAGACCTCTGTTGTTCAAACTGTACAAGTTGCTTCCTACCATTCAAATAACTCACCAACCAGTTTAGGGCCGGCCCCCTTATGCCATAAGCCTCCATTTTGTTTATTAGAATATGATGATCGATCGTATCAAAAGCTTTTTGGAGGTCAAGGAATATTCCTAGCACAAAATATTTTTTTTCTATACCGTTTGTAATGTCCTCCATCAGGTCTATGAGAGCAAGAGATGTTGATAGTTGTTTTCTGAATCCATATTGAGCGACAGACAGTAAATTGCACTTGTGAATGAAACCACGTAATCTAGTGTCAAACAATTTTTCCAGTATTTCGGAGAACTGTGGCAGAAGGGAGATAGGCCGATAGTTATTGAAGCTGTTTTTATTTCCTGATTTGAATATTGGGATGACTTTTGCCCTCTTCATTTGGGAGGGGAAGTCGCCAAGTTGAAATGACAAATTGCAGATGTATGTGAATGGTTTAATAATCTCTGTTGCTATCTTACGTACGGTTCTCATATCAATGTCGTCGATATCTCTAGATGTTTTGTTCTTAAATGTCCTTATAATGCTATGGACTTCCTCCTCATATGTGGGAGTGAGAAACATTGATCTGTGATTTATTTCAATCAATCCTTTCCCAGGGTCACTTTCCGATGGGATCTTTTTTGAAAGTTCCGGGCCTATACTGACAAAGAAATTATTAAAACCATCTGCAATACTCTTTTTATCAGTTATGATAGTTTCGTTCTCCACAAAAAACCCTGGATAACACAGGCTGAAGCTTCGACCGATCATATTATTCAATATGTTCCAAATTGCTTTGATATCGTTTTTTTTAGTTAATAGTACATTTGTATAATATTCTTTTTTACTTACTCGCAATATACTAGTTAATTTGTTTTTGTAATTTTTATATCTCATTTCATTTTCACTCGTTCTAACTCTAAGAAACTGCATATATAGGTGTTTTTTCTTTTTGCAAGCATTCGAAAGCCCTTTTGTCATCCATGGTGTCTTTGTGTGATCCTTTTTGTTGCATTTTTTGACTGGATAATGTTTATCATAAAGGGTGGTGAGTATCTGAATGAAGGCATTGTAAGCTGTGTTTACATCTGGCAAATGGTAGATGAACTCCCAGGTTTGATTTGCCAATTCGTTTTTTAGAGCTATTGTTGGTGATGACTCTATAATGGTGTTCGCTTTGGGCAGGCGTGGTTATTTTACAGTTTGTGTCATAGAACAGGAAGACTGGTAGGTGGTCACTCACATCATTTACTAGAAGGCCACTGGTTAGGTTTTTGTCCAAAGTATTTTTTACTTTTGTTCATAAATATTTTTTCCATCCATTCATTGAAAGCCTTAATGTCAGCTCCCGGTGCCCTGTAAACACAACTTACAATAATTGGTTTGGTTTTATACACAAAAGAACTCATTATTTAAAAAGGAGCATTCCTAGTTGACATTCCAAGAGAGACATTTCCCGTCTTTTGCATTTCAATTAAAACTCAAAATGTTACCTTTCACAAATCTACTTGTTAAATGTAAAAATACTCCCTTGTTTAAACATGTATTGAACATAGACTGTTTTGAAGCAGATTTGATAATTTCTTCTATTTATCCATTATTATCACAAGAAATCATGAACCATAGCTTTGAGTTCTGCCAATGTTTTTTCTGAAAGGTGTTATTGTATGGCAACCAATTGCTTCATGTTTTGTGAATTGAAGCGCAACATTTGTCAGAAAAAGAATAATATATTTCACTGGTTGGTAATAGGTTTCCACTGAAATCACTTTTCCCTTCTCTAGTTTCAATCTGCAAACTCTCATAACATCAGCAACTGATTGGACAAGGCTCAGGGAACATGTGTGCTGGATGTTTACTGTATCTCCCTGTTCTCTCGTCTGCTCAGATGAATAGCTCCGGGAACAAGCGCGCTCCGACCACCGCCACGCAGAGACTGAAACAGGACTACCTCCGCATCAAGAAAGACCCAGTGCCTTACATCTGCGCCGAGCCACTGCCCACCAACATCCTCGAATGGTCTGAGCTCACACCACACACACAAACATGGCTGGTCTCTCTCTACACTCTGGTTTTTATATCACAGTTTAACCCATTGAGGCCGGGAACGCATTCCTATGTTTCTACCTTTTCAAGCCGGGAGCGCTGTTGCACACTTCTGCCTTTAAGGCCGGGAAAGTGGACACATCTTTTTTTCTTTTTTTGACCTGTTCTCTTCATTGATCAATTCTCTTGACCAATGAAATGCATCAAGATAAACCAGGGATGAGAATTATCTGCGGATCCGCAAATTACGACTTTTTCTTGCTGAAAATATCCTTTCTGTGAAATGCTTGACCGCAGGCTGTTTGCGTTATGGGATTAACATCCTCCGCTCTGACCCCGGGAGCAACTGTGGCCGCTTTCACACAGCTCAGCGAACGCGCAGCCATAACGTGGTCATGTACCTCGGACCCCCAGCTTGTTGCACATGCGGGTCTTGCCTGTCTCCATCTCTCCCCCATGTCTCCTCATGAAGCGCAGCCAAAACTCACTGAATTAAAGCTCGGGTACCTACATTTTTGCTTGCATTGACAATGCTTGTTATTTGTGCACAAAAGTAAAATGTTGTGAAAAAACCAAAACATTCATGTTTTTTTTGCTTAAGAAAGAGTCCTGTGAGTCATTATTTGACTTTTTGGGCTGAGAGTAGATTTTTTATATTTCTTTTCTACATAGTTTTTTTCTACTAAAGGTTTATAATAATACACTGCATTCTTTTTGAAAGCCAGAAGTGGCAGCTCTTAAATTCTTTTGAAATTATGTTTCTATCTGCTACAGAGGCCGAGATATCAATCATTCTCTAGACGTTGAATTTCAGGAAAACTTCAGGTTTTGGAGGTGGTTCTGAAGTCCGCCAAAGGTTTTACAGGTCTGTTTTACCAGGTGGGTCAGGCCTTAATGGGTTAAACTGAAAGTTGTCTTGTGTGAGTTTTATTCAAGTAAATGTGTAATGATTAAGGTCTGTCCCTTTGTCACCGCAGCATTCCCAACACTCAGGCTTTTAATAGAAGGCAAAAGACTTCCAGAGACAAGACGCGTGTATAGTAAATCACGAGGCCGGGTCTCATCTCGGCCTGACGGAGCTTGTCGAAGTTCCTGTTACTCATGTGTTAGTGACAAATAGTGGGTCGATGCATCAGATGACTAATTTCTCAAGAGATTTTTTAAAGCTGTTTAACAACGAAGACAATTAATGATCTCATAACCTGCTTTTTTATTTACGGCCCACGTCTACTTCCTGCTTGCACAATATTAATAACAAACTCAACAAGTAGAGCTGTAACTGAAACTAAGAGGATTCTGCCTAAACGCGAGCCTGACCCTGAACCAAGCATGTTTATTTTATTTTTTATTTTTTTTGTGGCTTGAGGGAGCAAGACCATCGGATGGTCTGTGCGGTCGTGATGACTTACCTTTCATTTGTCTGTCAGCAAGATACTTTTCATCCAGATGGGGCAATGCTAAGAACTGTCTGCTCTTTTACATTTGTTCTGGTGCGCCTCACCATTTTTTCAGTATATAAATAGAAAATGGTATATAAATAGAAAATGTTTGTTATGTCCACTATGTTGACAAAGGCAGATGGCTACCGCCAAAACAAAATCAGGCAGTACTTGCTTCTTTACACTTTTGTCTTTATCAAAAGCCTTTTTAAAAGACAAATCTAAGCATTTATGCTTAATTGCCGCACATACCAGACCTGAATAGAATTGTAGGGTCATACAAATTAGGCCAGATCCAAATCAATCGGGTCTGGGTTAAGATCTTCGGCTCTGATCACAGGTGTCAGATTGTGTCCAGTATTCTACTTGTTCCCTCTGAATCTGTCTCAAACCTTGTTTTCTTACACAGTGATGCGTTTGTGTTTCCTCAGGCATTACGTCGTCCGAGGCCCAGAGAAAACGCCATACGAAGGTACCTCTCTTTCCTTGAGCTTTGATGGGAAAAAAACACAGGGCTTTCAATCAAAATACATAGGACGTAAGTTTGTGCTAATGGTAAACACTAGATCAGACACTAGTCTCTACATGTGGAGGTGTGTGGACTCGTTTTGGATCAACGTCAAGATTTCAAATGCACTAAATATATAATGATGAGGTGTAGCTATAACATGCTCTGTCTCCTTCAAGAGATGGATTGAACAAAAGATCAGGCACATGTGAGCTCATCTGTTTTTGTTGTTGTTTTTTTTAGGGGGATATTACCACGGAAAGCTCATCTTTCCCCGAGAGTTCCCTTTCAAACCCCCCAGTATCTACATGATCACCCCCAACGGCAGGTTCAAGTGCAACACCAGGTGAGCTCGATGACATGGCGGCTCAACATGGATCTACTGTTGGTTCTACTGTTGGTGCTACTGTTGGTTCTACTGTTGGTGCTACTGTTGGTTCTACTGTTGGTTCTACTGTTGGTTCTACTGTTGGTTCTACTGTTGGTTCTACTGTTGGTTCTACTGTTGGTTCTACTGTTGGTTCTACTGTTGGTTCTACTGTTGGTTCTACTGTTGGTTACTGTTATTGTACAAGACTAGAGGATGTCTACAGCTCTGGGTCCAAACCTTTTATGAGATCCCCTTCATGTGACGCCTCAACATCCCAAAGAGCCTACACTTGAACATTGTGGTGCAGGACAGCTGATAAAACGATCCCGGTATTTAGTTCCCTGTCTTCTTTTTCAACACTCATCAACTATGGTCTAACTATTTTCTCATAAACGTGACAAAAGTGGTGACCAGGACTGCCAGACATGAGAATGCTGGTGTGTCCCCCATCTTGACTGCACTACATGTGGCTGTGGGAAAAAATGGGAAGTTTAGAATAATAAACAAAATCCACGGTTGTCCTCTCCTCACCGTGATCTCCTCCTCACCCTCGCCTCCTCCTCTTCTTTGTTCCCTCGCCTCCTCTCCCTTGTTGCCTCCTCTCCCTTGTTGCCTCCTCTCCCTTGTTGCCTCCTCTCCCTTGTTGCCTCCTCTCCCTCGTCCCCTCTTCTCCCTCATCATCCCCTCCTCCTCACCCTGGTCTCCTCCTGTTGCAGGTTGTGTTTGTCCATCACAGACTTCCACCCCGACACATGGAACCCGGCCTGGTCCGTGTCCACCATCCTGACCGGCCTCCTCAGCTTCATGGTGGAGAAGGGCCCCACTCTGGGCAGCATCGAGACCTCCGACTTCACCGTGAGACCTTCCACTATCCTTTAGTCTTTATTATTTATTCTGGGGCAGTAATAAAGCTTTGATTCCTGACTTTTGGTTTAATTAATGACGCATGTAGTTTTTCCAACAGAAAGTCTTATAAAAGTTAAATGTAGTGAACAAATCACACCACGACAGGCTGTCTTCATCTTCATATAAAATTGTTTTACATTTTGTGTGCTTGTAAGAAAGAGCCCTGTGAGGGGCTGAGTGAAGGTGGTCCTCTCCTTTTATCTTATCGGTCTGAAAAAGCTGATCTGAAGACATGACTGAGGCCAAAAACACATTAATGTGAAAACCAGTGATACAACCAAACCGTTTGAGAGCCAGGGGCTAGTGACATGTATGTTATTAGAGTTCCCTTGTTGTGTTTTGAAATTTAGGTACCCCAGCTTTGATGTCGCTTACATCTGCCTATATCAGGGGGTATTCAACTCGATCCTCAAAGGGCTGGATAGCTGCAGGTTTTCATTCCAACCAAGCACAACAGACTTCACCCATCGTCTCAAGTTTCCAAGTTAAAGAGCGACTGTGCCCAGCCTTACTCCGCCCACATGAAGATTTGAAAATTTTCTCTAAAAAGGGCGTTGCCTGGAGGACCAAGGGACAAGAAGGGGGGCTTAGAGTTGGGCGTGGTCTGGGCTGTGATTGACAGCTCACTTGTCACACAAAAAAAAAACAGTTGTCATTGCTGCTTAAAGCAATAGTTAACAGACCAGAAAGTCTCATTCCACCCTTGTTTACACACTAAGATAATTGTAAAGCTACACACCTGAACCTAATCACACTCAATAATCTCAGAATGACTCATGTCATTTAATTTTAATCCACTAGATGGCGCCAGAATACTCAACTGTAGCTGGGGCGTGTGTGAGAGTTGAATGGGTTCACATCACTGGCTCTGACAGACTGACGTCACACAAAACAACTGATGTCATAGAGAACTTCAGAGTCAAAGGAGAGGCCAGAACCAAATTCAAATGTAGTACCACCAAAAAGGTTGAGAGGGCGCCACACAGCGTTTTTTGGCTCAAAAGTGATATTTTATCTAATTTGAACTAAAATGTCAAAAAAATGACCAGGATATGTAGACAGCACTACAATAAACATACTTATGCAGTTTATGAGTTAAAAAAAGTTGATTTGGTGTTTAGTCGCTCTTTAAGACTAGACTCACCGGAGGAAATGTGTGGGATCTGATGTGCTTTTGCGAGTTTGGAATGAAAACTTGCAGCCATTCAGTCCTTTTGAGGACCGAGTTGAATACTCCTGGCCTCGACAGATAATTACTGGTCTGAGTTTTGTTTGAAATTAAATATTTAGAGTAAATGTGGGAGCGTTGGTTAAGTGATATTTCATTTGTGTTCCAGAAACGACAGCTCTCAGCTCAGAGTTTGGTCTTCAACCTCAAGGACAAAGTTTTCTGTGAGCTGTTTCCAGACGTGGTCGACGTGAGTTCTGCTTCACACTGTTTTAGACCATGACGCTGAAGACGGGGAACATTTTGAGATGATTACATAAATGATTACAGATGATTACAGTTTGATGTACTGTGAGTCCTTTCGGTGGAAGTGATCTGGAAGCAGGGGCGTTTATGGACAGGTTTACACAACACCTTTTCTGGGGTATTCTAACTACCCCTGTCAGGGTGCGCTTTTCTCCTTTTCGCATATTCCTAGTTCTGTGTGTGACTCAAAAGGCCAATAAGTGCATATGTGTAGAAAAGTTAATTCATACGCAACGCAAAAGTGATGAACATAGTAAGATGCAATTCAAAGAAACAACACAAGGCATTACAATCATAATCTCCGTTCATTAAAGATAGCGAAAATAAACGTTGGGCCCTTTACAAACGCGCACATCTACCCAGACCGAAGCTGGGGACACTACCGGATACTATTGAGATAAGGCCAGAAGTTGCATTTAAGAGCGCAGGGAAAAGCCGTGTTGATATTTGAAATGTTTGTGATGAAGCCGTCCCTCTGCTCGGGTCTCATGTTTGCTTTGTTACACGAAGCAAAAGCAGCGTTTAATTGAAATGAACTACAGTTATGTATGATAATAATTTTACTTACTTCTACTGTTTCAGTCAGTAGACCCCAGATGTAGACTAGGACCAGAGGGATCAGACACCAAACCTTTGTAGCTTCTTCATATTCTTCTGGTGTGTGAGCGTCCTCTTGTGTTCTCAGGAGATGAAGCAGAAGCAGAAGGCGCAGGAGGAGCTCTTGTGTCGCACGCAGCCGCTGCCGCTGCCCGACGTTGTCCCGGACGCTGACCCGCAGCAGGCGCACTTCCTCCCCCCGCTCAACGGTAACGCGCCTGCCGATGCGCTGAACCACCACCGCGCAGCGCTCCACCACCAGCCCAACCGCAACCATGGACTACTAGGCGGCGCGCTGGCCAACCTGTTTGTGATTGTGGGCTTTGCGGCGTTCGCCTACACGGTCAAATACGTCCTGAGGAGCATAGCGCAGGAGTGAGGCGGCGGCGCGTGGAGACTCTGGTGCAACACAAACCAATAAATAAACAGAACTGTCCTTCGAAAAACTCTTCTTGGACTTCGGGGAACTCCAACAGAAGCGGCGGGAGATGAAGGAGCGGCTTGTGTTTGTGTGGAGGTTCATTTTTTAGCGTTTCTTTTTTTCAAAAGTCTTAAAGCAAAACTCGGGTTTCGTGCAAAGCTTTCTATTTGCGTGTTGTATGTCCACACTGCGAATAATAATATCCAGGATGCGTTTAAGGGACTAAAACGTGTTCCGAGCCTCAGATCAAATTGGATGTAGTATAATGTTCCACCTACACTGCAAAAATGCTTGAGTTGCCTACATTTTGACTTTAAACCAGAGTTTCCATTGGAACAAGTTTAGCAATAAAGGTGTCTGGTTCTTCTATACCAGACATTAGTAAGATTATGATGTTATTACCTTGACATGTGTCCAGGGGATACCTGTCTTCCTCAGAAGTGTAGATGATCCTTCCTAAACTAAGCTGTTGAGCAGTTGCAATCATTCCGAAGGAGAATTTTTGAGAAATTAGTTCAGTCACTTTTGTTTTTTTGGGTATTTTTTTCATATCAGCTTTCACATGGAAACAGAACACTCCAATTCGTGTCTGAAGATGTCATGGTTGAATTAAAGGAGACGTTTTATGATAAAATAAAACTTTTTTTGAGAATGTCTTCAAAATAAGACGTGTTTGTTTTTCGATCCATCCAGGCTAATGTCACTTCCTCAGGCACAAACATGTAGCTCCGCCCCTTCTGTCTAAAAGCTCCTGTCTCAGTCCTGTGATAGTATGATGTCATTGTGCTATGACGTCACACACATAGGAGTGCTTTGGCTTTTTTGAAACAAAACAAAAACGTAATTTTGTGGAATGCAGAAAAAAACTAAATGTGTAACTCCTCCCTCTGGTGGTAACGTAGTGAGTTACTGGCAAATGCAGTTTTTACCCTTCATGCCTTGTTTCACTAAATATAATTTCTACTTAAGATAATATTTCACATCCTAAAACATGAAATGACAAAACAGTCTCATTATTGTTTCTAATGGACAAAAATAATGAATAACGTCTCCTTTAATCAACTTGCCAATATTCTTTTAGACACATAAATGACCAGATAAAGGAAACCGGGACCATTGCATTAAATCACAAGTGATTAACTCAAAGTATTGAAGCCGTCGAGTTTTGCTTTAAATTTGTGAAGAAAAACACATGAATCTTCAAAATCTTTTAAAAAGGTGCAAGAAAAAAATGCTGTTTATTATTTCTACTGAGCGTGGACCACAGAAAATGCTTAGGTTACCATAGAGACGGAACCACTCAGAAAACACACTGGACGCCATCACCAATGGACGGATTACTGTGATAAAAGTGAAACATTTGCCTTAGAAACCCCCCCCCAAAAATGCAGTGTTTTTGAAAGTATCTGGCGCCCCGGTCGGTGGAATCCTTCACCTCTGAGTTCTGGCCCGATTAATTCGCCCAAAGACTTTTCCATTATTCTCAATCTGAAGTGGTCGCTTCTACAAATCACTGTACGTTGTTATGAATATAAAAATATTCAATAAATCTTTTTAAAACTGTTAATGTCAACCTATATTTTGACCTTTTTTTTCTTTTTTGTGTCTAAACTGGGGAAGTTTGTAGGTCTCTCCTTAACATTGCAATGAATAATTAAAAATAATAGGCACAGATCCTGATGGCTGTGACGGAATTAAAGCTGGGGTACCTAACTTTTTAACATTAATAACCCATGCTGTTTGTTTCAACAGAAGGAATGTAAAATAAAATGTTGTGAATCAGACGCAACTCTTTCATCAGATTAGAAAATCAGGATAATCAGGATTGTAGGAGCCCTGTGAGTCATTATCTGGCTCCCTGGGCTGAAAGCTGATTGGCTGAAAGAGGGTGGTCGTCACTTTTCTGTCTTAAAAAGCTGATCTAATGTGACTGAGACCAAAAATACATCCAAGTGACATGTAATGATAGAAACAAACTGGTTTAGAGCCAGTAACTAGTGACATGGATTTTATAATATAATTTTATATTTTGAGTTCATGGAAAAATTAATTTTGGTGATAACACTGCTCTGTGCCACACTTGTCTATAAACACTTTGGTTTTTGGTGAATTAAAGGCACACCGCGGACTTTGTGACCTAAAGAGTTGACACATATGAGTTATTTTATATGAATACTTGGGCCAATATACAGCGCTTGACACTTGCAATGCTCCGAGCGGGGCTGCCCTCTTGAAATACCGCCCATGTAAGTTTAGAGCAGACGGACCGTCTGCCACCAGGTCACGTGACTTGGAAGAAAGACTTGCTTTATGGCTACAGGCGCTGATATACTCATGGAGCTAAGGCTTTTGCTACTCATTTTTCACCTGCTCGACTCCTGGTCATGGCTGAGGCAAGGAAAAATTTTAAACCTTCGGAGGAGGCTAAAAAGAGGAAACGCGAAAGGGATCGTGCTGTAAGCTGCATGTCTGTATGAGCGCTGCTCTTCACCTGGTTCCTGGATGTCATCGACCGCAAAGATGTCATTCCACGCAGCACGAGCTAGACGCAGAACTCCCTCATCCAGGATATAGAAGTCCATGTGTGGTAGATTACTAATGCAGCGGTCTGGAGGCTGACCACAGCAGAGTCTCTCAATATCTGTAGGCATGTCTCTACAGTTTGAACACACACACCAGTGCATGCTGTCTGAATACACACTCAAAAGACACCGGCTGACTGTTTGTTGACTTTTGCGACAGTGCTGAGTTGCTTGTGGCCACTAGGGGCGCTAAACGTGAAAGTTGCAGGTCTAGCGCCCCTAGTGGCCAAGAGTTACACGGTGTGCCTTTAAAGCTGGTTTTAAATTTAAATAATAAATGTGCAAAAGCTTATAAAACACAAAATTCTGCCAAAAGTAACTTTTCTTTGGTTACTTAATAAAATAAAAGTAATAATCCACAGAAGCTGCTCCCTGATCTTCTATAGATCAACAACTCTCAGAATTATACATAAAATAAAACTATTACCTTGAACGAGTGGTAAGTGAATGATGGTGGTGGCTTCATTCCTGTCAGTGTGCCCCAGGGCAGCTGTGGCTATTATAGCAGGTTATTACCACTGTCTTTGAGCGTCACATAAACGGATCCATTATTATTGTAATGAATTATAGTCATATTAATAATAATAATAATGGTAAAACAATATTTTTTTAAAGGTTATAACCATAACATATACATTTTCTCTTTATTTTACAAAGAAAAAAAAATCTCTCTGGAATTTAATGAGGAACATTAAACACAGTGAAATGATGACATCACTGTGCTAAAGAAGCTGCTGTAGACGGCACAGTCCGCCCCAGGGCAGACAGACGGCGGATCCCCCTCAATGTGGGCCGGAATTTCTCACTTTTTCCAAATTTGGATAATTTCTATATATTCATTAGCATTGTTTGATGTGTAGTGTTTTGCCCATAAAAACATCATAATTTACCAGTGAAAGAGTAGGCATTTTTTATCTTTACTTTCTTTCTAAAGTCCTCGGGTTAAAAAACGATAAATTGAATTGAGTTGAGTTGAATAAACACAATAATGCAGAGGACGAATGATTGAACCTTGGGGTTAGTTTCATAAATGTATTTGGAGTCAATATCACAAACACAAATGAACATTTACAATCTGAAACGGCTCAATGTGAGTTTCCAATGATCCACTTTTTGCTTTTTAATTAGAGACTTGTTTGTCAGACACAGGTTTATCAGGCCACATTATTACACAACACACAACCACGTGTTTGTGATAAAGACATTAAAGGAGGCGCTGGTTAAACATAGTATGCAAATTATTATTGTATCCTTCTGACATATTTATTCAATCAGCCAAGAATGTGGCTCTTGTCTGAACAACGGTAAACCCAAAAAGAATCACAATGATGTCGATCTCACGATAAGAATCGCACTTTCACATTATTCTCAAGTACGACAAGCACCATCTTGTTTTTTTGCCAGACACTGACTTTAAAGTCAAAATATTCTGACTTTAATCTCACAAAGTAGCAAAATCATGAGTTTAATCTCAAACTTGAGTATGACGGACACATGCTCAGTTCTTTATTGTTTATTTGTATAGCACAGTACATACACAAGGCAAAGCAAACAGACAAGGCTTTCAAATCATAAATAATCACAGTAATCATTAAAAAGAAGATAGAATCCTTCTGTTGTATGCACAGAGAAACAGAACAGTTTAAACCTGGATTTGAACATTGTCAAAGAAGTAGTAGACGTCTGTCTCACATTTTCAGAAAGACCATTTCAGATTTTAGCTGCATAAATCTGAAGTGCTGCCTCCCCATGTGTAGTGCTGACTCCGGGCAGCAGCAGGAGGCCAGTCCCTGTGCTCCAATCAATCAACAATAACAATCCTCTTTGATCCAGTTTTGATTCAATACAAATATTAGTAATAAAAGTTTCTCTAGAAAATCCACCAGAAAAGAAAAAATAATCCTTTTCTCATTGCCACAATATTGAGAGGGGATCTTCCGTGTATGTTATACTGTAAGTTACATTTCCTTATTAGCTGGAACTGCCATTACAGCTCAGATGCTCATTCCTCACACGAGCTTCTCACAATAGTTGAGGAATTCTTGCCCATTCCTCCGGACAGAACTGCTATAACTGAGTCAGATTTGTAGGCCACCTCTCTTTCATGCTTTCTGAGATCTGCCCAAAAATGTTCCATAGGATTGACACCAGTTCTGTGCAACGGCCAAAACAAAACATTGCGACCCAGTCTTTGTGTTGTCCTAGTCTTAATTTAATCTATATGGCGCATTTTTACAGACCAAGGTCTCCTAAAGCACTTTACAATGTTCAGAGTTCAGGTATTTCATTACGAGACACCGAACACACTGCTGCATCTAAGCCTCCAATCAACACCTTCCATTCACTCATTACATTCGTACCTATTGTGCATGTTTTTAGTGGTAAAGGGAAAACCGGAGCACCTGGAGGAAAACAAAGAGGTCGTGGGTTTGAATCCCAGTCACAAAAGGGCCTTTGCATGTTCTCCTCATTCCTGCGTAGGTTTCTTCTTGGTGCTCCGGGTCACCCTACCACTAAAACCATGTACAGTAGGTAAATCCTCCAGCTCTGGTCCTGACCAAGCCGAGCATCAACATTAGGAGATGGGTCCACGGGTGCTGTTACTACGGCGACCACTGCTCCCATTACACGCCCTAGAGGCATCAGGATGGGTCAAATGCAGAGGTTGAATTGCCCTATGGGGATTTATAAAGTACACCTTTAACTTTACACGCTCTCTTCTGTGGAACTACAATATAAGTTAAAAGGGACTAAACAACATTAATTTTTAACTTTACAGTCTAAACATAAAATACAGACATAGACCAATAAAGCAGCGGTTTTCTGTGGCTTCCTTCTTCAGTTCCTCGGTATTATCCACATGAACCCATCTGGAGGTTGAACCAGCTAGACCAGGTTTTTTTTTTTCCCTTTAATGAAACGTAAGAGTTGGCAAAGATCCAGAGGAACAAGTCAGCTTCTGGATCAACACCCTGCCGCACATATGCAAATCTGAACGCTCTTTTGTTCAGCTCTGTCATCAGACTTTCATCAACGTGTCTAATGTGCCACAGTTGGATCAGATTCTGTGAGAATATGATCCACAAAAGCGGGTTTGGAGGTCGGTGTGAGACTGGGAAGAGGTGGCATCCACACAGACCAGCTGCTGTAGAACCATTTTATTTCATTTTGCATTTTTAGATTTCAACATTGCAAAAAAGCGATGAAAATTTTGTTTAAAAAAATGGCGCAAATTTGGCAAAATGCATCGCAACTTGAGCACATTGTGACTGCTTAAAACAAGATTTATTGTTATGTTTTTACTGTTTTTTTGGTCGAGACAGTGCATGTTAATGAACACACCTCCAGATTATAGCCTTGGACTAAATTGCATCCATCCCTCACTCGCTCTCACATACACACTCTGAGGAGGGGTAACCGGAGCACCCGGAGGAACCCTACACAGAAACGGCAAAAACATGCAAACTCCAAAACAGAAAGGTCTGGAGGTGGAATCGAACCCAGCCACTGACTGCCGCCCCACTGCTAAAAGGACGAGTCAAATGGTCTTGGTTTGAAAATATACAAGAAATGTCGACCTTGGAACGAGAAAATAAAGCAACAGTTCTGAAACGGCTTTGTCCCGTTGGAAAATCATGTCAGAATGTACAAAAAGTAAGATGAAAAACACAGCAATTATTACATCATATTTTATAACTTTTTGTAGTGTTTGGACAAAAGCACATGACAGTGAAGACAATAGGAGTTGTACAGTTTTCGTTATGGTTCTTGTTTTGCACTTTAAACCGTAAAGCCCCATTTCCACTGCGCAAAAACAAAAATCCCATCAAAAAGTCACAT